TGTATCACTAGCTGCTTGTGAATTTAACGTGATAATGAAGCATAGTGCAACGACAGCTATTTCTCTGTTCATCCACTCGTGTTCTCCCTCACACTACTCACAATAGTACACTGGTGCTCTTGCTCTTTGCCCCCATCTGAAAGCAACCACTATAACCCGGAATCAAACCCATTTCCTTATGCTTAGTAGCACAACACTTTGCCTGCTAAGCTACCAAGACACCAACAGTACAGTCATGAGTAAAGTTGTCAAGAGTCGGATATAGCAAACAATTATTCTAGGTTTTCATTATTCAGTCACTGCACATTCCAGGACTACTTAGGTGTTTGGTTATGTACTGTGCTATTTTTACCATACTTCTAATCGGTATTGCCCCTTTTCCAACCACACTTTTTGCCAGAAGGGACTCAAAAATACTGAATTTTTTCTTATTTCTATACTTGATTCCACATATATTTATACAACAAGCAAAAAGTTTTTTGTGAATAGTGATTTCACCGCAGCACAAAAAGTGCCACAACATCTCCAGCCTTCAGTGCAGAACATGTCCAGCTGAAATTTAAAAAAAATGCGCAAGGACAAACAAGCCAGTTAATAAAGCCTGTGGGGATTTGTTTACATCTACCAGCATTCACTGCTGGTGAACGTTAAAAAGCAATGATAACCTTAATATTATAATTTAGAAAAAAAGCCATTCTGTGTATTTAGAGCGACACTCTCAGCAGAAGTAAAATTCGTCATTTCACAATTCTCAGACAGGCATGATTTTTGTTATTCCTTTTTTTAAACAGAGCTGCAGCTATTTTTGTTTTGCATTTGCCATAATTCCTTCCTATTTTTATCAAAATGTACACTTTGAGCGTATTTTAAAATTTTTGTGTGCACTGTTTGTTCAAACCACAAAAATACTGGGATAACTTATTCAAAGTAACTTAAATGCGGTGGCCTAAACACTTCTTTCAGAGTGAATGACGCCTACTTGTTTTCCGTAGAAGAAATATAACTCTGTCGATGAGTTCAGCTCGTCATTATAAGGGTGAGTGTTGAAATGATGGACACCTTTTAAGAATGTTGCGACACAAGAAGGTGTGGCTTGCTACGAGAGAAAAAGTGCAACAGTAAGGTTTTAGAAAAACACAATAACAGTAAAAACAAAGAATAGGTACGTGTGTTACTACCTATTTGAACCAATATATCCCAAGTGCCGCAAGCAATGTGAGACTGTGAATGCATGCAAAGATATGAATTAAAAAAGCAGGTGAGAAGCGACGCCCCGTAGTTCATCAGCACACACGGTAAGGATAAACCTGCTATACATGGAAAATTTCAAGCTATGTGTGGTGCCACTAGAATTGCACCATGCCATGAGGCTGAATTTCATAGCTCATTGCACCCAATTGTTGGAGTATATTATGGACCTAAATTATAACTACAGAAGCTTCCCAGTAAGTTCATGTGAGTGTTCCTGCACGCACACAGCGCCCTGCTAATCGCTGTTAAGTCCACTTGTGATCAAATTTCTCAACATTGATTGTTCTGAAGACAGATTTTGATTGATTGATATGTGGGGTTCAACGTCCCAAAACCACCACATGATTATGAGAGCCCGGAAATTTCGACCACCTGGGGTTCTTTTTAAGTGCGCCCAAATATAAGCACACCGACCTACACCATTTTCGCCTGCGTTGGGAATGCAGCCGCCGCAGACGGGATTCGATTCCGCGACCTATGGGTCAGCAGCCGAGTACCTGAAGACAGATTTTCATCATAGTGCTTTCTGTATTACAGGATGAAAATAACTTTGAGTGAATTCGCTTCATGCTCACTCCAGCTTGAGATTACTTCCTCACATTCGTACTGGTGTCTACTTACTCTCCACGCACCTATACTGGCTCATGTCTTTTAAATGAGTGTGACTGGGCATACTGATCAGTTAGTTTATCAAGCTATGCTCTAAAAAAATGAGTTGTAATTTAGACAACAGCTCCAGCAGCCTGAAGTGCTGATATGATGCATAGCCATGAATTTTTTTGTGAGACTCGTTTTGAAATTGCAGTGCAATTAAAAGAGGTCTAAAACTTCATACTCCGAGGCTTGTCTCTTTTCACTACACTTATTACTAGAGAAAAAATGTGATAGTTTTTGTTGCTGTTTGCCAAGTTAAACCAAAAAAACGCAGCTGACCAGGGCTTACGAAATTTGTTGTGCTTTTATGTTGTGAATCAGTAGAAAAACTACTGATTGAAGTTGTGCAAGCTACATTTCACTGATATTTTATTTACCCGGAGCAATCTAGAGATGATGCTATGGCAGAATACTTATGTATTTTGGGAGCATACAATACAGTACAATCAACTATGTATCTGTGTGTATTTTGTGCTTATTATCATTTTGATGCTACTTGTTTTTGTGTTTTAAATGGTTAAGTAATATTCAGTTAATTTATTATTTACCACAAGCAATATGTTTGAATTCGTAAGGCTAAGATTATTAGCACTGTTTCACTTCATGCAGTGCATATGTTATTGTTGCGATAACCCTCTTTCTGCATTGCCCTCGGGTGAAATGCAGGCAACGCATTTAAAAGTAAATTGGTAAATACTGGCGCATCAGTAATGTGGCTTCATAACATGCACTGTATTGAATTTCTAATAATTCAGTGAACTACTCAGTCCTACAGATAGCTGTGTTAGTTTGGGCGACACAGCAGGACTGAGTGCACCAAAAAAAAGGGGGCATGCAAGTGAGGCACAGCCAATAGGAACCGATCTGCAAAATGGACTCGGCACGAGACTCAGTGAAACATCCCAGGAGCCCTCTGTCTTAATGTGACTATGTTACCCTTCAATGCCTTAGGTACGTGAAAATAGAACTACACACAAGCCACCTGATCTAGGAGTAAGAATCTGTGTAGGCCTTATTCCATGTGACATGAATTCTACGTTAACACCAAATAGCGACAAGCCTGAACAGTTGTCCTGCGCAAAAGCCAGTAAGATGCAAACACTTTCCTAACCAATACGGTTAGTGAGACAATAACTCCCACTACTAGTACACGCAGCGTCCGGCAACATTCGTCTTGCAATCACTTAACAGAAGACCCAACATATGGCCATTGGAGAGGCTTTGCAATCTGTAATTGGAAACCGATCGGCAACCGTTAAGCTGCAATAGCCAACAGGGCCCTGCAAAAGGGGCTCGATCCATGGCTAAACCCAGGAATTTTTTTCGCGCAGTGTTTATGTGGTGAATGGCTAACTTTAGCCCCAGGTGGCTGATCTGAAGGCGTGTATATATTTTAGTGCAACACAAAAAGTTCAAGCATGAAGAAGGTGTGGAGAGTTTCAGAGCCCGCTAAATGCTCTGGCTCCTTCCATAGTAACCGAGCAGTCTTTATTTCAATATTGTTGTTTTTCTGTCTCTTACATGTAGTCTCGAAGCGCAGAGGTTAAGTTGTTTTGACTGAATATTCATAGATAGATGTGAAGCAAAACTATATTGACATTGATGACATAGTCAGTCTTCGTATATTTAATAATTTTACACAATCAGTGTGCTATATGGAGTTGCAAAATTTGTTTATCAACACCTAGTGAATTAGTCGTTGTTTAATTTTCACTAAATCAAGCGCAGTAATTAAAACCAGAAGATGACGTAAAAGCTTGCACCAACCAATGCAGGAGCAATACAGGGATATGTACTAGCAAAAGAAAATAACTATACTAGAAGAAGGGGAAGTAGTTTGTGAGGTAACTACACAAGCAAAATACCAACCATAAATATGTACACTTGTACAAAATATAGCACTACCACATATAGCGTTGCAATCGTATGCATAAATATACCAAGGGAAGACATAATGACAGCGTAGTTGTATGTTTGGTCAAAAATGTGATACCAAATATAAACAATTGAAATAACACGTATAGCTGTAGAAATCATCTAATTAAAGAGGTATTTGTTGATTGTGTAGACTTCAATTTGCCATAGTTTATATGCATTAATAGTGGCTGGACATGATAATTTAGTTAGATGTGATTACCATCAGATTATTTTATTCAGACACAGTTAGCGTTCAAGTGATGATCCGTTGTAGCATTCAAGCTTACATTGCCCTTCATGAAATCATTCGGGTTCTGTTGCATTCTTCTTGCAAAACTTTCAGTTTCACATATGCAGGATAATGAAAACCAGAAAATAGAGAAGCTAAGGAAAGATACAGGGGACAATAAAGCAAAGTGGATGGAAAGACAACTTGCACCCAACAGGGACTGAACCTGCCACCTTTGGATAATGCGGGCAATGCTATACAACTTGAGTTAGGGTAGAGCATGAGGTGCATCATTTGAAGGTTACAGGTTTGGTGCTTGTCGGTGAAACTTGCCTTTCATCCACTTTGTTTGTATGCACATCAATAGCACAATGGCTACGATACACTTAAAACAGCACAGTTAACAATCCCCATACCATTATTGCATTACTTATTGTAGTATCGTAAGGGCGAAGAATAAGACGATGCATGGCCAGAACAAGAAGGAACAATGTTTATTCACGAGGCTGCTGTCGTGGTTTTAATACCCTGGCCCGAGGCCGGAGCATGCGCCGTGGCGAGGGGTGGAGGCACGTGTTATCGGTATGTTCTTTGGCGCGTGCACCTGATAATCTACGATATATCACTTCCTCCCCTCTGAGCTAAAACCTATCCGGCGGCTTGCGGGCACGGGTGGAGCGTCGGAGTGGGAGTGGTTCTGCCGTGGACCTTGGACTTGCTGGCTCGATGCCACCGCCAGACGCTTCCTTACCAGGCTCGGACAGACCGGCCTGAAGGGCTTCGCTGCTAGTTGACTGGATGCCGCTGGATGAGAGTGGCAATTGCTCCATGGCCATTGGCGTTTCGTACGGTTCTTTCTTAACCGGTGTCGACGAGTCGCGTGGTCGTACTTGATCGACGTGTCTACGTTGCACCCCCCTTGGCGTGTTAACGGTTAACAATCGCTTGCCTTCGACTGTTGTCACGGTTCCGGGTAGCCACCTTTGACCTAGCTGACTGTACTGTCGACTCCACACCTCCCTTCCTGGTGCAAACTCTTTCTTTCCAGAGTTCGGAACTCCGTTGACGGTAGCCTCCCTCTTCGCCCCGTCTTCCTCTGCCAGGTAGGTGCTCAGGCGGGTCCGTGGTTGGAATCCAAAAAGCCTTTCCGCGGGCGACTGCTCCTCTCGGGTCGGTGTTGTCCTGTAACGCAACAAAAATTTGGCAAGCCGACTCTGCAGCGTTCCCACCCGATTTTTCTTCAGGCCCTCCTTGATGGTGCGTACTGCCCATTCCGCCAAACCGTTGGATTGCGGGTAGTATGGGGCCGTCGTTACGTGGCGCACCCCATTTTCCCGGAAGAACCGCGCTGTCTCTGCACTGGTGAATTGCGGACCATTATCCGACACGACAGTCCGTGGTATGCCAAATCGCGCGAAAATGCACCTAAGTGTGTCTACCGTAGTCGCTGCTGTCGCCGTCTTCAAGGGCACTGCTTCGATCCACTTAGTCTCGGCGTCGACGAGGACGAAGATCATATGCCCTTCCACGGGACCAGCAAAATCCACGTGTAGGCGGTACCACCGTCTGTTGTTCTTTGGCCAGTTTGCCGGGACCTGCGCTGGGGGCATGGGCAAACACTGCACGCATCGGGGACACCGTTTTGCAAGCATTTCAATTTCACCGTCTAGCCCTGGGTACCAGAAAATTGAGCGCGCGAGGTTCTTCATTGCCGTCATGCCTGGGTGCGTATCGTGCAACTCTTTCAAAACAAATTGCCGGGCAGCTTTAGGCAGAACCACACGGTGGCCCCAGTAGAGTATCCCGTTACTCACGGCCAATTCATGCCTCCGTGCAAAATACGGTTGGTACTGCTGTTCCTCTGAACCGAGACGCCTTGGCCAGCCTTGCAAGATCCAAGTCTTCACTTGCTGAAGTACGTCATCTTTGCTGGTGTGGTCTGAAATACTCTGCGCAGACAAAACAAAATCATCCATAGCCTGCGCATGCAGGACATATTCGGCTAGTTCATTTTCCCGGCCATTATCGCGAACCGGTAATGGCAACCGGCTTAGAGCGTCGGCATTTGCATTTAGCTCTCCTTTTCTGTATTCCAAGTCGTATTGATAAGCTGCTAAGAGCAGCGCCCAACGTTGAATGCGGGCCGCTGCCATTTGCGGAATGGGTTTATCTGGACCTAGCAAACCAGTCAGAGGCTTGTGATCGGTCACCAGAGTGAACTTGTTGCCAAAGAAATAATCTCGAAATTTTACAACGCCGAAGACCAGCGCTAGTGCCTCCTTTTCCAATTGTGAATAATTACGTTCCGCCGACGTTAGAGTTCTCGAGCGGAACGCTATGGGATGATCCACTCCTTGTATGCGGTGCGACAAAACTGCGCCTATACCCTCGGCCGACGCATCACACTCAAGCCGCAAGGGTCTTTGGGGGTTGTAATGCACAAGAAAGTTCGCCCTTCTCATGGCGCGCTTGGTTTCTTGGAATGCTGTTCTCTGTGCGGGCCCCCAACACCACAGTGCTCCTTTAGACAAGAGTCGGTGTAACGGGGCCAAAGTGGACGACAAGTTCGGTAGAAATTTGGAATAGTATGTGACCAGTCCTAAAAATGATTTAAGCTGGCTTACCGAAGTCGGTGGCGGTGCCGCTAGCACTGCTTCCAAATTGTCCTGCAGTGGGTGGAGGCCTTTTGCATCGATTCGGTGCCCTAGAAATACCACTTCTTTCTCCCGGAAGTGGCACTTCTCCTTGTTCAGTGTTAGGCCGTTCGCCCGAAGTCGTTCGAACACTTGCCGCAGTATCGTTGTGTCATACTCTTTTTCTGCTACAATAATGTCGTCCAGGTAAACTTTCACCCCTGGTATACCCTGCAGCACGGCTTCTATGCGCCGCTGAAACAGCGCAGGCGCTGAGGCAATGCCAAAAGCCAAGCGGTTGTAGCAGAAGAGGCCTTTGTGTGTATTCAACACAGTTATCTTCTTAGCATCATCATCCAGGGGAAGCTGGTTGTATGCGTTACGTAAGTCGAGTGTGCTGAACACTTCGCCTCCTGATAGCGCCGCAAAGATGTCAATTTTCGGAAGCGGGTACTGCTCTGTTCTTGTCGCTGGATTAAATGTTAGCTTAAAGTCCCCACACAGCCGGATGTCTCCGTTCTTCTTTACTACGGGCACGACCGGTGTTGCCCATTCAGCCACGCTCACTGGGGACAGCACGCCCACTTCCACCAGTCGGTCAATTTCGGCGGAGACTTGCGCTCTCATGGCATACGGGACTGTCCGAGCCTTCAGAAATCGAGGTTGCACACTTTCCTTGAGGTACAGCTTCACCGGTGGTCCCTTACAGCTTCCGAGGTTCTCAAAGAGGTCCGGAAACTCGTCAAGAAGTGCGGTTAGCTGGCTGTCAGCGTGAACAACATTCACCGAAGACGACGTGCCTTCTACTAGCAACATGCCTGCTTTGCGAAATTCCTCTATCGTGTCCCTTCCGCACAAAAGGGGCCCTCGATGGTCCACTACTATCAGCGAACTGCTCACCGTTACTGGTCCAAGCTGTACCTGCATGTCTACCTTGCCAACGACCGGCAACGGTCCCAGGAAACATGAAAGCCGTAGTGGAGCTTTTGCAGAGCCGGCCACCACTTGCGATGCTTCTTGTACAAGATTTTGGGAATCACGCTTACTGGCGATCCAGTATCGACAATCATTCGCAGCCTACGGCCTTCCCACGTTAAGGTGCGCTCGATTGGCTGCACCAAGTGCTTATTGGCGGAACTGTGTGCAACGAGAGCATACAACCTCTCTTCTTCGCTTTCACATTCGGTTCCGTCGACAGCGAACGTTCCTGACCTGGGGGTGTGGGGTCTTTTGCAAGCCCTAGCAAGATGCCCTCTTTTACAACATTGATGGCAGATGGATCTGGGATGTCGACAGGACGCCGTTCCATGCGCCCCTTTGCATCTGTCGCATGAAAGGCTGCAATTCTTCCTCCACTGTCTGCCTTGTTGCTGTATCACGTTGACGCCGCCACCTTCGGTCCGGGCGTATGAAGTACGCATGCCCCGAGCGTCTTCGTTCGCTTTCTCAGAAGCTAAGGCGAATTCTTCGGCTTCTTCACGAGTCAAGTTCTTGCGGCCCAGCAGGCACCGGCGCGTTTCCTCATCCCGAATCCCACAAACGATTCGGTCCCGCAACATACGGTCCAGTGTCGCCCCGAAATTACAATTTACGGCCAGTCTTCTCAGTTCAGCAATGTAGTCCCGGACGCTTTCTTGCTCATCTTGTTTTCGAATAAAGAAAGAATAGCTTGCTGCTATTTCGTTTGCCTGAGGGTTGAAATGTTCTTCCAAGCATTTCACAACGTCATCGTACGTCAAGGAGTTGATGGCGACCCCCGGCTGGTGCCCTTGCAATATCCGGACGACACTGTCGCTCAACGATGAAACCAGTAGGGCCCGGCGTTTCGCTACGTCGGTAATATCGTTGCCCTCAAAGTAGGCTTCCAACCGGACACGATACGTGCTCCAGCTACTCACGGCGTCGTCGAAGGCAGGGGGTCGGGATCCCATTCTTTTGGTCTCAGCGTCGGAGTGCAATTAACCGGATCCCATCTTCGTCGCCACTGTAGTATCGTAAGGGCGAAGAATAAGACGATGCATGGCCAGAACAAGAAGGAACAATGTTTATTCACAAGGCTGCTGTCTTGGTTTTAATACCCTGGCCCGAGGCCGGAGCATGCGCCGTGGCGAGGGGTGGAGGCACGTGCTATCGGTATGTTCTTCGGCGCGTGCACCTGATAATCTATGATATATCACTTATCTTCTGGTTTTCATTAAGCTTGAGTTAAACAGAAAAACGAGCCCTTTGAATCTCCTTCTTTTATTGATTACATAGTTGGCTTATGTAAAAATAAATGAAATGGGCAATTCATCCTCTCCCTTGGTGTTTTCAGCTTACATTTAGTATCGCATCAATCGACATCTGTTACGATGGGCACATTGCGAAGAGCTAAGTACATGTGGGTTAAAAATAAACGTGAACAGTACAGCGTGCTGTTTTCATCACACTCTGACATTGGTGTCAAAGAATTGTTGCTAGTATGGCTTTTGATTGGATCATAGATGACTAACTGCTTTTCATTACCATTCAGACTACAACTGCTCGAAAAATAAATTGAAAACACTTGAGAATGTAGATGCCATGTTGTTCATCTTTCTTTCCATCTCCACTGTACACTGTCATATGATTGCTGTCCTTTCTTGTGTCATTTGGGGTGATTCTTTCTAAGTAAAGGGAGCATCGAAACATGCCTGTGTGCATTGTAGGATGAATTGTCTTGATGCTCTCTCACGCTGTGTACTTTTCGTTAAGTTAAGTATATAAAATTTGTGCCTGCCCACTGGTCTGTGTATGAGTCGTAATATTGCACTACCTGTAATTGTCCTCCCTCACATTCCCCGTTTGGTAGGGTGAGAAATCCTGAACAAGTAAAGGAAAAAAAATTGGCGAATTGAGAAAAATATAAAAGACTGGAATATATAAATATATAAATGTGATGGGTATATTTAGCATAAAGGTCATGAAGATGCAATTTACAAACAATTAAAATTTACAAGCGAATATCTACTTCAGCACAAAACTGCACAAAACAGATAAAATGTCACAAGGTAAGAGAAGAAGGGGGGGGGAGTTCGGACGTTGTGCGGGGGTGTCCTCATGAGGTGCGGCTGCAGTACGTTGCCGAGCCCTGGTTTATGGCACTGTTACATCGTGCCAGAGCTGCGCACTTCATTAGTGCAGCCCGCGGCGCTGCTCTAAAGGAATAGCATTTCTGAGGGGTTGGGGGGGGGGGCATTCAGATATGTGTCTCTCTGTATCCACGTATACAAGTCTGTGACCTCACCATCGATGGCCTGATCGTCGTCAGACTGCCTACTTGAATAATCTGGTTTGAAATGTGTGCGGGAACGTCGTGTTCTAGCAAGCTGAAGCGCGGGCACGTTCAAGCACGGCGATGTCACGGAGGATGCACCTAGTGCAGATGGGCTGATTACATGCTAGATACGGCAGCTTAAGCGAATATAAACAAACACGCAGGTTAAGGCCCCTCTGTAGAGTTTCTAGCGTCCACTACCGCAACCATGCAATTCATGCCGCTGCAAAACAGAAAGTAACAGTGCACGTACTTCGTTTAAACTGAACCCGCATGGGTAAAAGTATACTTTTTGTGTCGCCTGTTGATGATAGTCGCCATGGAACACCTCTGATTTGCCGAACGGTCGCAAGGTAGACGAAGAAAGTGCTTCGCGGACATCGCACTTCGCGAACACTGCAAACATCGCGTCGGCAGTTGCAAGCACTGCACGAACATCGCGTCGGCCAATCAGCGTGCGCATGCATTCCGCTCGTGCGGCCCCATCGTGAACAGCCTCCGTCTTCAGACCGGCTGAAAACCAGAATGGTCCTGAAAAACGGAGCGGAACCGGGCGTGCGGCCGTACCTTGGTTTGGCCTTAAAGGTTACTTTGGCGAAAGAAGTAAGCTTCAGCAAAGACTGGAGTGGCAGATGTATGATGCAAGAAAGGAAGTTGCGTCGAACTCACTGGCCAAGCACGTGGTAGCAATGAAATGACCAAATAACCGCGAAGAAAGATTGGCTGAGCAGGATAGTCATCCTAAAGGTGAAATCGAAAGCCCTGCACTGAAACTAGATAATTTAGAAAGCAGGAGTAGACACCATAACTTCATCATTTATGTTGTAACGGAAGAGACTAACGAAGATGCCATGTTACTCTACTGAAAGTAGAGGAAGGCGTTCTAAAAGGGACACTTGGCATTGCAGTAAAAACCAGCAAAAAAACTCATAGGACAGGCACCTGTAAAACTAACCAATAAAGACCAATCATCCTACGTTTGTTTGACTACAGCGAACAAAAAACAATATCTTGTTATAAATTCAAAGTTATGCCCCTATTTATTACCGAGAATTTTTCTAAAAGAGTAAGAGACATGCGCGCGCGCACTTAAGGCGCAAGGGCTTAAGGAGCAAAAGTCACAGCTGTCGTTGGATAAACAGAAAGTTGTTGGATAAACAGAAGGTTTCAAGACTATAATGAAGATTCGATTAGAACACGCACTCTGAATGCATTCGACCTTCGTTATCGCAGTCATAAGCAGACTTCACGCATTCGACCACGGAGCATGGATTTACAATTCCCGTCAAGTGAAGCTTACAGAAAGACCACGCGATCGTTTTCACAACCTTCCACCTGGTTCCTCATCAGCGCAAATATCGCCAGTGCTTAACTCTTCGCTGCATAAAAGATTTGAATTCACTATTTATGACCCAGATGCATTTAATTCTTCGTGTGGCATGCGTACCTTGCAAACTAATTTGGCATCACCTGTCATCAACATTACGAATAAACCTAATGAAGCACCTCATAATATCATCGCATTTACGCATGATGAGTAAGTAAATCCGCACGAAACCAAACCAGACAACGAATGTTCACAGAAATCTTATTCGATCAAAGTATTCAGCTCAGCAGCTTAACAAAGACAGAAGCATTCACAATCCGCCTCTTGTGAAGAAAAGTCTTCTGCAGAAACGTCTAGTGTTCACCAATCTAAAGATTGAAGCGACGTGAATCTAGTACACAACCTCACTGCCAACGATGAAAACGAAAGCCCAGGTGCGACTTCGGACGACACAAGTACTCTTCAGGCCACCACCAACAATGAGCGGTTTATGAATACAGAAGATTCAAGTGTGCGAAACCCCCCACATTGTCTCGCGCCAGAAATAGCTGCGTTGGTTGGCGTCGTAAAAACCTGCGGAGGACTTGCTAAGAATCTTGGCACACCACGATCGATGTCACACCACAATCAAGTCGATGAAACCAAGAAACTACAACGTTAACGTATACTTCAACATTGTCAACGACGAAAGAAAACTCCATCGAAACCACTCTTAAGGCTCAAAAAACATTGCAAAAAAGCCCTTCGTCGTGGATACTGTCTCCACCAAAGATTGAAAATACGCCTTCGTATAAAGCATCTGCGACATCGCTATAGAAAAATCTCCAAAAGCCACAAAAGCACCCCTTGTACTCGACAGGAACACAGGCAGCGCCCGATGAACCTCGATCAACGCGCACGCAAGCTGCCTGTACGGTCTGTGTACCACCCACGGCGAGGAATTTGATGCCTACAATATCGGAACTATCGATTATGCAAGATGTTCGAATCTCGTTCGTTCTTCACAAGAATACCAGCTGTGATTTTATTTATTTATTTATTTATTCAAAATACCTTACAGACCCAACAGGATATTGTGTAAGGGGAGCATAAAGGGAATACATACATGAATTGGTACACTTTATTCATGATTTATTTATTCATGATACCTTACAGGGCCCGATAGGGCATTGAGTAAGGGGAGCAAGTACGAAACAAAAAATATCAGAGATAAATGCATTATTTAATACAGGGAAACAAAATAGAAAAAAAAGAAAAAAAGGGTACAGTGTAGTTACACATTTTTACACATGGCAAAAAACAGCA